GCAGAGCACTAATAAAATAAAAAAATGAATATCTCAGACACACAGCTTGGTATGGCCAGAGGCTGCCTCAGGGGATATTAAAAGTGCAAGAAACCAAAAGAGAGGAAATTCTGACTTGATAGAGCTGAGACAGCGCACACGGAAGTGGAGCTCGAAGACGTGAGGCTACCATTAGGGTAAGCACAGGAGGAAGTGCAATCTACCTGGAGCAAGAACCATGCAAGGCTTGCTTAGGGAGGAAGCCCTTGGTGCAAACTGTCACTTTTCATTTTCTTAAAGTAAAGCTAAGAAGGCTTCTGACTGTGCAGCAGCCAAGTTAAGTCCTTTTTCCTTTCATGCTGAAGGCTGTGATTATACTCCAACACAATTCCCGCATTATACAGACATTGTTTCCCTATTTGCAATTGCACATAAACAATTCTTATAGAAAATGTGTTCTACCAGAAGAGATAGTGTATATTTATTTATTACCTATCAAATATTTATCAAGCACCTGTGATCTAATCCAGGCTTGTGTTTTAAAATTCCAATTATTTGCTAATAACGCCCATATTTCTATCTCTGGTCCAGATATTTCCTCTGAATTCCAGACACTTATCCAGCAACCTGCTTAACATCCTCACTTGGATGACGAATAGGAATCTGGAACTTACCTTGTACAAAATCCAACTCTTGATATTTCCAACCAGATCTTCTCCTGTTGAGGTCTTCCTCATATTGTCGAATGGCAACTCCATCCATACTGATGCCCAAGATAAAAATCCTTAGATCATTATTTTTCCTCTGCAATCAAAGAAAATTGTTTTTTTTATTTTTCTAAATTTTATTGGAGTCTAGTTGATTTACAATGTTGTGTTAGTTTCAGGCGTACAGCAAAGTGAATCAGTGAGATATATATATATATATATATATATATATATCTCCATTCTTTTTCAGATTCTTTTTTTTTATTTTAAAGAACAGTAGGTCTTTATTTTTTTAACATCTTTATTGGATTATAATTGCTTTACAGTGGTGTGTTAGTTTCTGCTTTATAACGAAGTACATCAGCTATACATATACATATATCATCCCCATATCTCCTCCCTCTTGCGTCTCCCTCCCACCCTCCCTATCCCACCCCTCTAGGTGGTCACAAAGCGCCGAGCTGATCTCCCTGTGCTATGTGGCTGCTTCCCACTAGCTATCTGTTTTACATTTGGTAGTGTATATATATCCATGCCACTCTCTTACTTCGTCCCAGCTTACCCTTCCCCCTCCCTGTGTCCTCAAGTCCATTCTCTACGTCTGCATCTTTATTCCTGTCCTGCTCCTAGGTTCTTCAGAACCATGTTTTTTTTAGATTCCATATATATGTGTTAGCATACGGTATTTGTTTTTCTCTTTCTGACTTACTTCACTCTGTATGAAAGACTCTAGGTCCATCCACCTCACTACAAATAACTCAATTTCGTTTCCTTTTATGGCTGAGTAATATTCCATTGTATATATGTGCCACATCTTCTTTATCCATTCATCTGTCGATGGACACTTAGGTTGCTTCCATGTCCTGGCTGTTGTAAATAGAGCTGCAGTGAATATTGTGGTACATGTCTCTTGTTGAATTATGGTTTTCTCAGGGTATATGCCCAGTAGTGGGATTGTGGGGTCATATGGTAGTTCTATTTTTAGTTTTTTAAGGAACCTCCACACTGTTCTCCATAGTGGCTATATCAATTTACATTCTAACTAACAGTGCAAGAGGGTTCCCTTTTCTCCACACCCTCTCCAGCATTTAGCTTTTCAGATTCTTTTCCCGTATAGGTTGTTACAGAATATTGAGTAGTGTTCCCTGTGCTATATAGTTTACCTATTTTACATATAGTAGTGTGTATATGTTAATCCCATTCTCCTAATTTATCCCTTCCCCTCCCCTTTCCCCTTTGGTAGTCATAAGGTTTATTTCGAGATCTGTGAGTCTGCTTCTGTTTTGTAAATAAGTTCATTTGTATCATTTTTTATTAGATCCCACATATAAGTGATGTCATATGACATTTGTCTTTCTCTGTCTGACTTACTTCACTCAGTGTGACAATCTCTAGGTCCATCCATGTTGCTGCAAATGGCATTATTTCATTCTTTTTTATGGTTGTGTAATATTCCATTGTGTGTATATATACCACATCTTCTTTATCCATTCATCTGTCGATGGACATTTAGGTTGCTTCCATGTCTTGGCTATTGTAAATAGTGTTGCAGTGAACATTGGGGTGCATGTATTGTTTTGAATTATGTTCTTATCTGGATATATGCCCAGGAGTGGGATTGCTGGATGATCTTTGACTTCTCTTTCTCACACTCCGAATCCAATACATTAGCAAACCCTGCTTATTCTACCTTCAAGACACATCTAGAATCCAGCCACTTCTTACAACCTGCACTGCCACCATCCTAGTCCAGCCACCATCATCTCTGCTGTGTTGTTACAAACAGCCCAACTGGTCTCCTTGCTTCTGCCCTTTGCCCCCTCTAGTCTATTCTCCCACAGTGGCTGGAATGATCCTTTAAAAATACAATGCCATGGGGCTTCCCTGGTGGCGCAGTGGTTGAGAATCTGCCTGCTAATGCAGGGGACACAGGTTCGAGCCCTGGTCTGGGAGGATCCCACATGCCGCTGGAGCAACTAAGCCCGTGCGCCACAACTACTGAGCCTGCGCGTCTGGAGCCTGTGCTCCGCAACAAGAGAGGCCGCGATAGTGAGAGGCCTGCGCACCGCGATGAAGAGTGGTCCCCACTTGCCACAACTAGAGAAGGCCCACGCACAGAAACGAAGATGCAACACAGCAAAAACAAACAAATTAATTAATAAACTCCTATCCCCAACATAAAAAAAAATACAATGCCATGTTGATAGTATATATGCTTGATCGTATATACAAGGGTATTGATAGTATATGCAAGGGTATATACTATCAATATGACCTATCGTTGTTGATGTTGACCTTGGTCACCTGGCTGAGGAAGTGTTTGGCAGTTTTCTCTACTTTAAAGTTACTGTGTTTTCCCTTTTCATACTGTATTATTTGGAAGAAAATCACAACCCACACTTTTTTTTGGCCTTGCTGTGCAGCATGCGGGATCTTAGTTCGCTGACCAGGGATCAAACCCGCACCCCCTGCAGTGGAAGCATGGAGTCTTAACCACTGGACTGTCAGGGAAGTCCCACAATCCACACTTGCAAGGAGTGGGAAGTTATATTCCATCTCCTTGAATGTGAGGCATCTGCATAAATTATTTGCAGTTTTTCTGAACATGAAATTTGTCTATTCTCTACAATTTATTAATAATTCAATCCTTGATTTATCAAAAAATTACAACTCCAGGGCTTCCCTGGTGGTGCAGTAGTTAAGAATCCGCCTGACAATGCTGGGGGCACAGGTTCGAGCGCTGGTCCGGGAAGATCCCACACGCCACAGAGCAACGAAGCCCGTGCGCCACAACTACTGAGCCTGCGCTCTAGAGCCCGTGAGCCACAACTACTGAGCCTGCATGCCACAACTACTGAAGCCCACGTGCCTAGAGCCCATGCTCCGCAACAAGAGAAGGCACAGCAACGAGAAGCCCGTGCACCGCAATGAAGACCCAATGCAGCCAAAAATTAATTAATTAATTTAAACAAAATTACAATTCCAAACACGTCATTTATCTGTTCAGAATTCCCCATTGCCTCTCTGTCTCCCTCAGAGTAAAAACCCAATTCTTGCAATGGTCACTAAGTCCCTACATGATCTAAGTCCTGCCATCTTTCTAAACTTGTCCTCTTCCACTGTCTCCCTGGTTTCCTCCACTCTGTTCATACTGGCCCCCCTGCTCTTCCTTCCACATGTGAGGCTGGTGCACTGACTGTTCCCTCTGCCTAGAACTCTCTTCCCCCAAATATCATCAGGGCTCACTCTCTCAACAACTTTAGGTTTCTCTTCAAAAGCTCCCCGAGGGGCTTCCCTGGTGGCGCAGTGGTTGAGAGTCCGCCTGCCGATGCAGGGGACGCGGGTTCGTGACCCGGTCCGGGAGAATCCCACATGCCACGGAGCTGCTGGGCCCGTGAGCCATGGCCGCTGAGCCTGCGCATCCGGATCCTGTGCTCCGCAACGGGAGAGGCCACAACAGTGAGAGGCCCGCGTATCAAAAAAAAAAAAAAAGATGGTTCTTCCCTCTAAGTATCAGGAAACGATTTCTTATGACACCAAATGCTAGAGCACCATCATCAAGTGGGGAGGTATTGAATTTTCCCACTTGAGTTCCATTATTCCTCTTGAGGGTCTTTCAATCTTCTAGCTGTTCCCACTACCACTGTGGCCCCCAGAGGCTCACTGTTCGCTCATTAAAATTTTGGCATGTGCTGTACACCTGAAACGAACACGGTGTTGTAAACCAACTATAGTTCAATTTTAAAAAAGTAAAAGAGATTTTAAAACATAAAAGATAAATAAATACATGACTTAAAATGAAAAAAGAAAAACTTTGGCATGGGGTAGAACAGTTGTGACAATGTGAAATTTTAAGTGAGAATCCTATAACATACCAAGAGAGAAAAAAATAAAAAGTATTGTAGAAAGAATCAGTGATCTCCAGTAATAAAGAAAAAAGCATTAATCTAGTATTTATTTATGAAGATCTTCACATGTGTCTTTGATATTCCTCTTAGCAGCCTTAAAAGATAAGATAGGTATTATTGTGCCCATTTTACTGATGATAACACTGAGGCTCAGAATGTTTAAATGCTTTGTCCATGGGCACATAGCCAGTCAGTGAAACAGCCAGAATTCAGACTAAGGTCTATTCTTCTATAAGTCTGGTGCTTTTATCAGTTAGCCCTAGCCATGTGACCACCTAGAGGGGTGGGATAGGGAGGGTGGGATAGGGAGGGTGGGAGGGAGGGAGACGCAAGAGGGAAGAGATATGGGAACATATGTATAAGTATAACTGATTTACTTTGTTATAAAGCAGAAACTAACACACCATTGTAAAGCAATTATACTCCAATAAAGATGTTAAAAAAAAAGTCAGTGGCTTAAAACCAGAATCGTTTACTCTCATGTATCTGCGGGTTAGATGAGAGTCAGCTAATTTAGGCTGAACTTGGTTGGAGGTGACTCTGCTGCATTGAGTCTGTTATCACACGGGACTACAAGGCTGGTGCCTGCGTACTCTTCTTATGGTAATAGTACAAGGGCAAGACACAAGAGAAAACTTGCAGAGTCTCTTGCCAGGCTCAGAACTTGTGCAGCATCATTGCCTCCTCATTCTCTTGGCCAAATAAAATCCTTTGGCTGAACTCAAAGTCAAGGGACAGAGAAGTGCACCCAACCCAGGAAGGCACTGCAAAGTTAGATGGCAATGGCCATCTATATAGGAAGGGACAAGGAACTAGAGCCATCAGTGTATTCTACCACAATGCTCTTCCCCATGGTACCAGGCAACTTCTCCACACAGGTTTCTCATCCACATTCGAGCTCCCTACGGCTGACACAGTAGATGTCTATTCTGTCCTCAAACTAGAGTCAAAGGACATATTCCTGCTTTGCCACCCAACATGGCTCTCCCACTGCATTTCTCTCTGTCAGTCTTGTCTGGGTTATTAATTCAAACTATCATCTCACCCTTCCGGGGAGACCTACCTCCAAAACACAGGGGAGTGGTCTCATCTAAGTTCACCCTGTGCACATTTACAACATAGAAACCCCTACAAATCAGCAGAATCATAAAATTCACACGATAAGATTCCTATGCATCCATTAGGAGTAGATTTAAACCCTATGTATTTAAACTCTCCTAGCTGGACCCTTATTCTCTGATGCCTAACTCTTCATTCATTCATCCAATGCATTTGGCAATTTTTTTATTGACTACATACTGTGAGTCAGGCATTGCGCGAGGTAATGCAAAACTGAGCAGAGTAGCCGCAGGCCTTGCCCTCACCGAGCTTTGTTTTTTTCCCTGGTAAATTAATAGGTACTGATGTATGTTAATGAATTCATGTCATGTTATGCTTACTCACATTTGCATAAATTATTTGCATCTTAACAAGAACATTAACCCAAAATGTGACCCATTTTTGTCATGTCTGGCCCTGATGGGGTAAGGAACACTTTCTGAGCAGGAATGCTTTTCAGCGGTCTGTACATCACACCCCCTAACTTGTCACGGATAGTAAGTTCCTAGAATGAAACCTCTCTGCCCACAGTGGAGGGAGGCTGGCAAAACCCTGTCTGGATGGTGAAGGCCAGGTGATCACCCCAGAAAGTAATTTTGTGGGTACTTAGCACTCTTCGATGAAAAAAATACACAAGTATCTTTAAGTACCTTCTCAGTGCCGGGTCCTGAAAGAATGTAGGTTTTGGGGTGAGATTGTCTGGGTTTGAGTCCACACTCCACCCTTTATTAGCCATGTCACCTCTCTGGCCTCTGTTCCCTCATCTGTAAAAATGGAGATAATCAGAGTAGTTATTCATAGAATTATTGTGAAGTTTAAATAAGATAATCTACATAAGCACTTAGCACAGTGCTTACCACATTACAGACACTGAATGAATACTTAGCTGTTATTATCGTGTCCTATAAGCACAGCTGGATAGATAGATGAAGGATATGAAACAAATTGAAGAAATTATTCTTGTCTCAATTTCAGACAATCCATTTCAGAAGAAAAGGCGCATATTAAACAACAAGAGAGAAATCACAAGATGATTGCATTAGTTAAGGTTCTTTCATTTGCAAGCAACAGAAATTAACTTTGTCTTATTTAAGAAAAAAGATTGAGAGTCAGAGCAAATTCACTGTAATGATTCAGGGCTGTTCCACAGCCTCACAAACAAGTTCAGCTCCTAAACCTTGACATGGACAAGCAAGCCAGCTCTAGAAATTCAACAGCAAGATCTGGGTGTGGATCCTGGGTCTCCTGAGTTCAGCAAGTAAGGTCACTTCAGCCCTTAACACCTCCCAATCTTGGGTTCCTGTGTCCCAAGTTTCAAATTTCCAGGCGGAAGAACCTGGTTGGCCCAGCTTGTGTCAGTTCTCTTCTTCTAGACTGATTCATTAGCGTGGTCTCCTATCAGACATGGCAAGCCACAGGGGTGTCATGTCCTATATATTGGAAGGCTCTTCCCAGATGTCAATAGGGAACTCCGGGAATAGTTGGCCTCCTGTTACCTCTTTGCCCTCATCTCCTACAGTGCTCCAGACACTCTGATCTTGCTTTTCTTCAAAACAGCCAGACACGTAGTGCCTCAGGAACTTTCTACTTGCTATTTCCTTTTCAAGGCATGTTATTCTCTTAAATAACCCCATGAGTCACTTCCGTATCTCCTTCATATGTTTAGTCGAATGTTATCTGCTCAGCAAAGCCTTCCCTGACAAAGTTACTTATTTTATTTTTCAAGTTAAAAAAATTTTTTTAGGCCACGCCACGCGGCTTGTGGGATCTTAGTTCCCCAACCAGGGGTCGAAATGGGCCCTCGGCAGTGAAAGCACAGAGTCCTAGCCATCCGACTGCCAGGGAATTCCCAACAAAGTTATTTAAAATGGCAACATATCCCCTCAGACATCCACATACACACTTTTTTTTTATTAACATCTTTATTGGAGTATAATTGCTTTACAACGGTGTGTGAGTTTCTGCTTTATAACAAAGTGAATCAGCTGTACGTATACATATATCCCCATATCTCTTCCCTCTTGCGTCTCCCTCCCACCCTCCCTATCCCACCCCTCTAGGTGGTCACAAAGCACCGAGCTGATCTCCCTGTGCTATGCGGCTGCTTCCCACTAGCTATCTATTTTACGTTTGGTAGTGTCTATATGTCCATGCCACTCTCTCACTTCGTCCCAGCTTACCCTTCCCCCTCTCCGTGTCCTCAAGTCCATTCTCTACATCTGCATCTTTATTCCTGTCCTGCCCCTAGGTTCTTCAGAACCATTTTTTTAAAGAATTTATATATTTTATTTTTATTTTACATCTTTACTGGAGTATAATTTCTTTACAATGGTGTGTTAGTTTCTGCTTTATAAAAAAGTGAATCAGTTATACATATACGTATGTTCCTATATCTCCTCCCTCTTGCGTCTCCCTCGCATACGATATTTGTTTTTCTCTTTCTAACTTACTTCTGTATGACAGTCTCTTAATGTATGACAGTCTCTAGGTCCATCCATGTCTCTACAAATGACCCAATTCCGTTCCTTTTTATGGCTGAGTAATATTCCATCATATATATATGTGCCACATCTTCTTTATCCATTCATCTATTGATGGACACTTACGTTGCCTTCATGTCCTGGCTATTGTAATAGTGCTGCAATGAACATTGGGGTGCATGTGTCTTTTTGAATTATGGTTTTCTCAGGGTATATGCCCAGTGGTGGGATTGCTGGGTCATAAGGTAGTTGTATTTTTAGTTTTTTAAGGAACCTCCATACTGTTCTCCATAGTGGCTGTATCACATACACACTTCTAATCCCTCTTTCTCTGCTCTCTTTCTCTCTCAAGTATTTAAAACCTGCAGTACCAGTTAGCTACTTCTGCATAACAAAATACTGCAAACTTAGCAGCTTAAAACAACCGCCATTTTATCTAGGTTGTAGACTGTGGGTTGGCTGTGCAGTTCTTCTGGCCTGGACTGACTCAGCTGACCTCTCCTGGGTTTGCTCATGCGTCTGTGGTCAGCTGGCAGGCCAGCTGATGGCTGCACAATGCGGAATGGCCTCATTCACATTTCTAGTGGTTGGCAGGCTGAGGGACCTCTGTTCTCTTCCATGTAGCTTTCTCATCTTCCAGCAGTCTTCCTTGGAATCATTCACATAGTGGTTTGAGGGTTCCAAGAGCAGTAAGGGAGTAAGCCCCAGTGAGCTAGCACTTTTCAAACGTTGCTTGTGTTTGTGTCTTATTTGCTAAGGTCCTATTGGCCAAAGTAGGTCACGTGACCAGCCTAGATTTAAGGGGTTGAGAAACAGACTCCAATGCTTGATAAGAAGAGCTGCAAAGTCGTATTGCAAAACAACATGATAAAAGGGTGTACAAACGGGTGGGAAAAATCCGTGGCCATACTTGCAATCTACCACATCTTCTAACATATCATGTAATTTACTTATTATTTTGCTTACTGTAAAAATGAGTCTCCATTCATTCGTGAATCCCTGCCACAAAAGTAACACGGGAGGGGAGAGATTTGTGTGGAGTAATTAGTTTCAGTTTCTTTGCCCACACTGAAGAAATGGAGTCTATTTATGTGAGAAGCTTTCCTTTGAGTTGGGCGCATCCATTGCCACATTTGTGTGTTACAAATTCTGAACAGTCTTCTAAGTGTTTTAATAGCACATGTATTAACTGCTCTAGTAATTACACAGACAAAATCAACATCCCACATGAACATTTAAATGAATGCAAATCAACCTAATGGCCTCTCCTGGGGGGAGGATTATCATGCAGTGAACATTTGCTCTAACTCATATTATATATACAGATGAGATTTTAATTTTGATATACTTCCACATGGACGTATTTTTCAGTTCAATGCAAATCTACTTATAGCGTATCATTAAGGCTGAATCAGTCTCTTTTCTAGTGTATGTATGTGTGTGGTTAATGTTGATATAGACAATGAGGCTTAATTTTCAGAATATCAGATGTTCTATTCTGCTCACCACTTCTCCACCCCCATTGTCATCATTATTATGGAGAACTTTATATTTTTAATGGGGACGTGATGTCTTACCCTCCTACATTTTTTTTTTTTTTTCGGTTTGCAGGCTTCTCACTGTTGTGGCCTCTCCCCTTGCAGAGCACAGGCTCCGGACGTGCAGGCTCAGCGGCCATGGCTCATGGGCCCAGCCGCTCTGCGGCATGCGGGATCCTCCCGGACCGGGGCACGAACCCGTGCCCCCTGCATCGGCAGGCGGACTCTCAACTACTGCACCACCAGGGAAGCCCCCTCCTACATTTTTTATTCTTTTCTCATCTCCGGCCATACTCTCCCACTTTCCCCAATGTCACCCTACACTTGTGTGTTTGTTAAGATTATTATATGGGCACAATGCTGTCATCATATCAACTCACTTAACCTCTCAAAAAAGAAGAAAGGAAGGGAGCTAGAATCAACTGAACACTTGCTCTGTGCCAGGCATTAAAACCCTAGACTAGGGACTTCCCTGGTGGTCCAGTGGTAAAGAATCTGCCTTACAATGCAGGGGACACGGGTTCGATCCCTGGTTGGGGAACTAAGATCCCACATGCCGCAGGGCAAGTAAACCCATGTGCCACAACTACTGAGCTTGCGCACCTCAACTAAAGCCCGCATGCCGTAAACTACAGAGCCCGCATGCTCTGGAGCCTATGCGCCACAATTAGAGAAGAGAAAACCCTCATGCCACAACTAGAGAGAAGCCCACGCACCACAACAAAGAGCCCACACGCTGCAACGAAAAGATCCCGTGTGCCTCAACAAAGATCCCACATGCTGCAACTAAGATCCGACACAGCAAAAAAAAAAAAAAATTAAATAACTAAATAAATAAATCTTTTAAAAAAACCCAAAACTCTAGACTAAGCCTGTGAGATAGATATTATTGTCCCCATCTCATAGCTAAGAAAACAAAGGCACAAAGAGTTTAATTTACCAAAGGTCATAAAACTACTAAATGGCATATCTGGCATTGAACCTAGGTCTGTGAGAACAAAAGTTTTCTCAAATCTCAGCAGAGGTAGACTGGAGTAGAACTTTTTGAGGATGCTATTAACAATCTCTCCTAGGAAGTATTTACATTTCTGATAAAAATGTTTGAGCACTTTTCTGATAAATGTTGATTAGATTTAGAGCCCTGTCTGGGAAGTTAAATTTATGCTCCCAATGCATTAACCACAGAACCAAATATCTTTCTTGTGTGTATCCTAGAACCAGATCTTCTTTCTATTACTTAGTTTAACATCAGCATCTAACCACACTCTTACTCTATTAAAAAAAAACACTTGCACTGGTACTCTCAGACGTTGCTGGAAGGAGTATAAGTATGTACCTCCACTTTGGAAAACTGGCAGTTTATCCAAAAGCTATGCTTATGCAAACCCTATGAACCAGCAATTCCACTCCAGAGTATGTACTGAAGAGAAATTAGTGCACATTCCACCAAAAGACTTGTACAAGAAGGGTTACGACTGCATTATTTCTAATAGCCAAATGCTAGAAACAACTCTAATGTCCAACAATAGGTAAAGAGACAAGTAAATTTTGGTATATTCATACAGTGGAATACTACACAGCAATAAAAAGGAATGAACTAGTGCTGCACATGAAAGCACTGTTGATGCTCACAGGCATCTTTTGTAGAGCAAAAGAAGG